TTACTGAGCCAATACAAGCATATTTGGTTTTTTTTTCATGATTAATTCTGTAAAACTACTCGTTAAACCGTAAGGCTGACGCTCATGCGAGGTGAGGGGAGAGTGAAGGGAAGCAAAAAGAGCCCAGAAAAGTTCTAATGTTCAGTTAAGAAGTTGTAACGTTTAGTGTTCTTCCGTTTTTGTCATTATCTCTTTAACCATGTGAGATTTATGACTGAAAATTTGATTATTCTTGGATGAAACACTTTATCTGAATGTTTTCAAGGGCTTTGTTTGGTCATTCAATCGATGGGCGTCAAAGATGTTTTAGAGGTGCCAAAACTTATCATAAAAGTACACGGAGTACTCAATATGTACTCAATATAGGAAAGTAATACTCAAAATAGGAAATAACAGAGGAATTAGTTAAAATGCTAATACAATTGTGACAATTCATAAATCTAATAAAAAACTAACTATAAGTTGAATTTAGTGTTTTTATTAGCGGATAATTTTTTCAATACTTTCTTAGGTAAACGAACAATTTCAACCAAAAGCTGAAATTTTTTTTTTGTTTTTTTTCCCGATAGTTTTTTGTTTATTGAAGCCCTTTCAGTCATGATTCGAACCACACTGAAAAAGTTTCGAAACGTTTTTTTTTTCGTCAGTTTTGAGAAAAAGGGATTCGATTTTTTTTTAATTCGAGCAAATAAAGCACGCGAGCAGGCTAACAAAATAAATTAGGCCTAATTTAAGACCTGAAAACTTATTTTTAGGCAAGTAAAATATTTTTTGAAGTTTTTTAGCCTCATTTTGGGAACCAAAAATTTCAAAAAAATTCAAAAGTTTACCTCATTCTAGTCATTTTTCTTCAAAATTTTTTGTCCAATTTGCTTAAGTATGTTTTGAAGTCAGATCCTTTTATCACACCAAGTCGAAAAAACTAAACGAATTTGAAAAAAAAAATTTCTTGCACAGTAACCGGCTATACTTGTTTTTTTTTGGGATTGCTTGAAAATTACCATGCCGAATATTTAAGCCATAAAATACATATTTGTTTCTCATACTTAACTTTGTAACATCTCTAGTTAAAGCATATAATTGATGTTCTTGTGAGATGGGGAGGGGGTAGGAGAAAGCCATGAAATTTATTAAAGACTTTAACAATTTTCCTAATGGAGAGATAAAATGTCCTAATTTGATTTCCTAATAAAAGCAAATTGATAACGCGATCACTGTGGTTTCAATCACGACAATTGAAACCTAAAAAAGCAAATTTTTGCTTATAAAAGCATTGTTCGCCTTGTCGGGTTGTTGTGAAAGTTGACATGCAAATTTACTGAGCCAATAGAAGCATATTTGGTTTTTTTTTCATGATTAATTATGTAAAACCACTCGTTAAACCGTAAGGCTGACGCTCATGCGAGGTGAGGGGAGAGTGAAGGGAAGCAAAAAGAGCCCAGAAAAGTTCTAATGTTCAATTAAGAAGTTGTAACGTTTAGTGTTCTTCCGTTTTTGTCATTATCTCTTTAACCATGTGAGATTTATGACTGAAAATTTGATTATTCTTGGATGAAACACTTTATCTGAATGTTTTCAAGGGCTTTGTTTGGTCATTCAATCGATGGGCGTCAAAGATGTTTTAGAGGTGCCAAAACTTATCATAAAAGTACACGGAGTACTCAATATGTACTCAATATAGGAAAGTAATACTCAAAATAGGAAATAACAGAGGAATTAGTTAAAATGCTAATACAATTGTGACAATTCATAAATCTAATAAAAAACTAACTATAAGTTGAATTTAGTGTTTTTATTAGCGGATAATTTTTTCAATACTTTCTTAGGTAAACGAACAATTTCATCCAAAAGCTGAAACTTTTTTTTTGTTTTTTTTCCCGATAGTTTTTTGTTTATTGAAGCCCTTTCAGTCATGATTCGAACCACACTGAAAAAGTTTCGAAACGTTTTTTTTTCGTCAGTTTTGAGAAAAAGGGATTCGATTTTTTTTAATTCGAGCAAATAAAGCACGCGAGCAGGCTAACAAAATAAATTAGGCCTAATTTAAGACCTGAAAACTTATTTTTAGGCAAGTAAAATATTTTTTGAAGTTTTTTAGCCTCATTTTGGGAACCAAAAGTTTCAAAAAAATTCAAAAGTTTACCTCATTCTAGTCATTTTTCTTCAAAATTTTTTGTCCAATTTGCTTAAGTATGTTTTGAAGTCAGATCCTTTTATCATACCAAGTCGAAAAAACTAAACGAATTTGAAAAAAAAAATTTCTTGCACAGTAACCGGCTATACTTGTTTTTTTTTGGGATTGCTTGAAAATTACCATGCCGAATATTTAAGCCATAAAATACATATTTGTTTCTCATACTTAACTTTGTAACATCTCTGGTTAAAGCATATAATTGATGTTCTTGTGAGATGGGGAGGGGGTAGGAGAAAGCCATGAAATTTATTGAAGACTTTAACAATTTTCCTAATGGAGAGATAAAATGTCCTAATTTGATTTCCTAATAAAAGCAAATTGATAACGCGATCACTGTGGTTTCAATCACGACAATTGAAACCTAAAAATTTTTGCTTATAAAAGCATTGTTCGCCTTGTCGGATTGTTGTGAAAGTTGACATGCAAATTTACTGAGCCAATACAAGCATATTTGGTTTTTTTTTCATGATTAATTATGTAAAACCACTCGTTAAACCGTAAGGCTGACGCTCATGCGAGGTGAGGGGAGAGTGAAGGGAAGCAAAAAGAGCCCAGAAAAGTTCTAATGTTCAATTAAGAAGTTGTAACGTTTAGTGTTCTTCCGTTTTTGTCATTATCTCTTTAACCATGTGAGATTTATGACTGAAAATTTGATTATTCTTGGATGAAACACTTTATCTGAATGTTTTCAAGGGCTTTGTTTGGTCATTCAATCGATGGGCGTCAAAGATGTTTTAGAGGTGCCAAAAATTATCATAAAAGTACACGGAGTACTCAATATGTACTCAATATAGGAAAGTAATACTCAAAATAGGAAATAACAGAGGAATTAGTTAAAATGCTAATACAATTGTGACAATTCATAAATCTAATAAAAAACTAACTATAAGTTGAATTTAGTGTTTTTATTAGCGGATAATTTTTTCAATACTTTCTTAAGTAAACGAACAGTTTCAACCAAAAGCTGAAACTTTTTTTTGTTTTTTTTCCCGATAGTTTTTTGTTTATTGAAGCCCTTTCAGTCATGATTCGAACCACACTGAAAAATTTTCGAAACGTTTTTTTTCGTCAGTTTTGAGAAAAAGGGATTCGATTTTTTTTAATTCGAGCAAATAAAGCACGCGAGCAGGCCAACAAATTAAATTAGGCCTAATTTAAGACCTTAAAACTTATTTTTAGGCAAGTAAAATATATTTGAAGTTTTTTAGCCTCATTTTGGGAACCAAAAATTTCAAAAAAATTCAAAAATTTACCTCATTCTAGTCATTTTTCTTCAAAAGTTTTTGTCCAATTTGCTTAAGTATGTTTTGAAGTCAGATCCTTTTATCACACCAAGTCGAAAAAACTAAACGAATTTGAAAAAAAAAATTCTTGCACAGTAACCGGCTATACTTGTTTTTTTTTGGGATTGCTTGAAAATTACCATGCCGAATATTTAAGCCATAAAATAAATATTTGTTTCTCATACTTAACTTTGTAACATCTCTAGTTAAAGCATATAATTGATGTTCTTGTGAGATGGGGAGGGGGTAGGAGAAAGCCATGAAATTTATTAAAGACTTTAACAATTTTGCTAATGGAGAGATAAAATGTCCTAATTTGATTTCTTAATAAAAGCAAATTGATAACGCGATCACTGTGGTTTCGATCACGACAATTGAAACATAAAAAAGCAAATTTTTGCTTATAAAAGCATTGTTCGCCTTGTCGGATTGTTGTGAAAGTTGACATGCAAATTTACTGAGCCAATACAAGCATATTTGGTTTTTTTTTCATGATTAATTATGTAAAACCACTCGTTAAACCGTAAGGCTGACGCTCATGCGAGGTGAGGGGAGAGTGAAGGGAAGCAAAAAGAGCCCAGAAAAGTTCTAATGTTCAGTTAAGAAGTTGTAACGTTTAGTGTTCTTCCGTTTTTGTCATTATCTCTTTAACCATGTGAGATTTATGACTGAAAATTTGATTATTCTTGGATGAAACACTTTATCTGAATGTTTTCAAGGGCTTTGTTTGGTCATTCAATCGATGGGCGTCAAAGATGTTTTAGAGGTGCCAAAACTTATCATAAAAGTACACGGAGTACTCAATATGTACTCAATATAGGAAAGTAATACTCAAAATAGGAAATAACAGAGGAATTAGTTAAAATGCTAATACAATTGTGACAATTCATAAATCTAATAAAAAACTAACTATAAGTTGAATTTAGTGTTTTTATTAGCGGATAATTTTTTCAATACTTTCTTAGGTAAACGAACAATTTCAACCAAAAGCTGAAACTTTTTTTTTGTTTTTTTTTCCCGATAGTTTTTTGTTTTTTTTTCACGATAGTTTTTTGACGTCCGGAGTATTTCTCTGACACCTTCTGATAAAATGGCCACATAACTCCTTAAAAATTACAATTGATGGTTTTTTTATTTGATTATATTTTGACAATCAGTTTAATTCATCATATGGCAAATTTTCAGCTACAAATTTCTAATAATTACTAAAGAAAAAAACGACAAAAAGGTGATTAAAAACTTTCGTTCATTTCAACGGCTGAAACTTTAAATTTTCTCCGATTTCACGGGACAGTAGTTCTTGAAACTTATTTTAGTGCCTTTTCTTTTTACAAAAACAGCCAAAAATAAAAAGATGAAAAAAAACTCTGGGAGAAATTTTTTTCCGTGTTTTTTTTTCTTCAAATTTCAGCAAAAATGTATGTGCCGCTATTCTCATTTATCTCTCGTATTGGTTTCTCGGTGAAGTTTTTACCAAGTGACGAGGACTCCTTTTTCGGAAGGGAGCAGTTTCTGTGGCACAGGATAGAGATGGAGAAGCACTGTTGTGCGTGGAAGCAGCACGCCGCCGAAATGGAGTTTCACCGGGAGAGAATAGAATGTCTCACGGCTGAGATGAACGGATTCGCACACCAGGTACTATTATTACTCTCATTATTTAGTGTCACTGAATGTTATGAAGACACTTAAAAAATCGCGATGGTTTTTTTTCAGGAAAAAAAACTTAAATTTTATACGCTCAAACTTAATTTTTCACGGTGTGACATCAAAAAACAAACGGATTTTTTTCTGTGCTCAATTTTTTTGCCCGGTCTTCATTAATTAAACATGCGAATTTCGACATCGTTTAGATGCTAATAAGGGAAGTATTTGCTTACTGATTTAAGACAGTGTGGTGTTTTGTGTTCTTTTTTGAGAAAAGATGGCTCTTTTTCACTCCCTACCCCTCCTCTCCACCCCCCCCCCCATAATTTTGTAACAACGTAACATCAAGGAAAGTTTTTTACGGAGTTTTCATACAATAGTTTTCATGGACAAATTAAAACCAGCATGTAATAAGCATGAACAATAATTCTAAAAAAAAATATGGAAAGACTGCTAAAAGAATATCTTGCATGTAAAACCACTCGTTAAACCGTAAGGCTGACGCTCATGCGAGGTGAGGGGAGAGTGAAGGGAAGCAAAAAGAGCCCAGAAAAGTTCTAATGTTCAATTAAGAAGTTGTAACGTTTAGTGTTCTTCCGTTTTTGTCATTATCTCTTTAACCATGTGAGATTTATGACTGAAAATTTGATTATTCTTGGATGAAACACTTTATCTGAATGTTTTCAAGGGCTTTGTTTGGTCATTCAATCGATGGGCGTCAAAGATGTTTTAGAGGTGCCAAAAATTATCATAAAAGTACACGGAGTACTCAATATGTACTCAATATAGGAAAGTAATACTCAAAATAGGAAATAACAGAGGAATTAGTTAAAATGCTAATACAATTGTGACAATTCATAAATCTAATAAAAAACTAACTATAAGTTGAATTTAGTGTTTTTATTAGCGGATAATTTTTTCAATACTTTCTTAAGTAAACGAACAGTTTCAACCAAAAGCTGAAACTTTTTTTTGTTTTTTTTCCCGATAGTTTTTTGTTTATTGAAGCCCTTTCAGTCATGATTCGAACCACACTGAAAAATTTTCGAAACGTTTTTTTTCGTCAGTTTTGAGAAAAAGGGATTCGATTTTTTTTAATTCGAGCAAATAAAGCACGCGAGCAGGCCAACAAATTAAATTAGGCCTAATTTAAACCTTAAAACTTATTTTTAGGCAAGTAAAATATATTTGAAGTTTTTTAGCCTCATTTTGGGAACCAAAAATTTCAAAAAAATTCAAAAATTTACCTCATTCTAGTCATTTTTCTTCAAAAGTTTTTGTCCAATTTGCTTAAGTATGTTTTGAAGTCAGATCCTTTTATCACACCAAGTCGAAAAAACTAAACGAATTTGAAAAAAAAAATTCTTGCACAGTAACCGGCTATACTTGTTTTTTTTTGGGATTGCTTGAAAATTACCATGCCGAATATTTAAGCCATAAAATAAATATTTGTTTCTCATACTTAACTTTGTAACATCTCTAGTTAAAGCATATAATTGATGTTCTTGTGAGATGGGGAGGGGGTAGGAGAAAGCCATGAAATTTATTAAAGACTTTAACAATTTTGCTAATGGAGAGATAAAATGTCCTAATTTGATTTCTTAATAAAAGCAAATTGATAACGCGATCACTGTGGTTTCGATCACGACAATTGAAACATAAAAAAGCAAATTTTTGCTTATAAAAGCATTGTTCGCCTTGTCGGATTGTTGTGAAAGTTGACATGCAAATTTACTGAGCCAATACAAGCATATTTGGTTTTTTTTTCATGATTAATTATGTAAAACCACTCGTTAAACCGTAAGGCTGACGCTCATGCGAGGTGAGGGGAGAGTGAAGGGAAGCAAAAAGAGCCCAGAAAAGTTCTAATGTTCAGTTAAGAAGTTGTAACGTTTAGTGTTCTTCCGTTTTTGTCATTATCTCTTTAACCATGTGAGATTTATGACTGAAAATTTGATTATTCTTGGATGAAACACTTTATCTGAATGTTTTCAAGGGCTTTGTTTGGTCATTCAATCGATGGGCGTCAAAGATGTTTTAGAGGTGCCAAAACTTATCATAAAAGTACACGGAGTACTCAATATGTACTCAATATAGGAAAGTAATACTCAAAATAGGAAATAACAGAGGAATTAGTTAAAATGCTAATACAATTGTGACAATTCATAAATCTAATAAAAAACTAACTATAAGTTGAATTTAGTGTTTTTATTAGCGGATAATTTTTTCAATACTTTCTTAGGTAAACGAACAATTTCAACCAAAAGCTGAAACTTTTTTTTTGTTTTTTTTTCCCGATAGTTTTTTGTTTTTTTTTCACGATAGTTTTTTGACGTCCGGAGTATTTCTCTGACACCTTCTGATAAAATGGCCACATAACTCCTTAAAAATTACAAATGATGGTTTTTTTATTTGATTATATTTTGACAATCAGTTTAATTCATCATATGGCAAATTTTCAGCTACAAATTTCTAATAATTACTAAAGAAAAAAACGACAAAAAGGTGATTAAAAACTTTCGTTCATTTCAACGGCTGAAACTTTAAATTTTCTCCGATTTCACGGGACAGTAGTTCTTGAAACTTATTTTAGTGCCTTTTCTTTTTACAAAAACAGCCAAAAATAAAAAGATGAAAAAAAACTCTGGGAGAAATTTTTTTCCGTGTTTTTTTTTCTTCAAATTTCAGCAAAAATGTATGTGCCGCTATTCTCATTTATCTCTCGTATTGGTTTCTCGGTGAAGTTTTTACCAAGTGACGAGGACTCCTTTTTCGGAAGGGAGCAGTTTCTGTGGCACAGGATAGAGATGGAGAAGCACTGTTGTGCGTGGAAGCAGCACGCCGCCGAAATGGAGTTTCACCGGGAGAGAATAGAATGTCTCACGGCTGAGATGAACGGATTCGCACACCAGGTACTATTATTACTCTCATTATTTAGTGTCACTGAATGTTATGAAGACACTTAAAAAATCGCGATGGTTTTTTTTCAGGAAAAAAAACTTAAATTTTATACGCTCAAACTTAATTTTTCACGGTGTGACATCAAAAAACAAACGGATTTTTTTCTGTGCTCAATTTTTTTGCCCGGTCTTCATTAATTAAACATGCGAATTTCGACATCGTTTAGATGCTAATAAGGGAAGTATTTGCTTACTGATTTAAGACAGTGTGGTGTTTTGTGTTCTTTTTTGAGAAAAGATGGCTCTTTTTCACTCCCTACCCCTCCTCTCCACCCCCCCCATAATTTTGTAACAACGTAACATCAAGGAAAGTTTTTTACGGAGTTTTCATACAATAGTTTTCATGGACAAATTAAAACCAGCATGTAATAAGCATGAACAATAATTCTAAAAAAAAATATGGAAAGACTGCTAAAAGAATATCTTGCATGTAAAACCACTCGTTAAACCGTAAGGCTGACGCTCATGCGAGGTGAGGGGAGAGTGAAGGGAAGCAAAAAGAGCCCAGAAAAGTTCTAATGTTCAATTAAGAAGTTGTAACGTTTAGTGTTCTTCCGTTTTTGTCATTATCTCTTTAACCATGTGAGATTTATGACTGAAAATTTGATTATTCTTGGATGAAACACTTTATCTGAATGTTTTCAAGGGCTTTGTTTGGTCATTCAATCGATGGGCGTCAAAGATGTTTTAGAGGTGCCAAAAATTATCATAAAAGTACACGGAGTACTCAATATGTACTCAATATAGGAAAGTAATACTCAAAATAGGAAATAACAGAGGAATTAGTTAAAATGCTAATACAATTGTGACAATTCATAAATCTAATAAAAAACTAACTATAAGTTGAATTTAGTGTTTTTATTAGCGGATAATTTTTTCAATACTTTCTTAAGTAAACGAACAGTTTCAACCAAAAGCTGAAACTTTTTTTTGTTTTTTTTCCCGATAGTTTTTTGTTTATTGAAGCCCTTTCAGTCATGATTCGAACCACACTGAAAAATTTTCGAAACGTTTTTTTTCGTCAGTTTTGAGAAAAAGGGATTCGATTTTTTTTAATTCGAGCAAATAAAGCACGCGAGCAGGCCAACAAATTAAATTAGGCCTAATTTAAGACCTTAAAACTTATTTTTAGGCAAGTAAAATATATTTGAAGTTTTTTAGCCTCATTTTGGGAACCAAAAATTTCAAAAAAATTCAAAAATTTACCTCATTCTAGTCATTTTTCTTCAAAAGTTTTTGTCCAATTTGCTTAAGTATGTTTTGAAGTCAGATCCTTTTATCACACCAAGTCGAAAAAACTAAACGAATTTGAAAAAAAAAATTCTTGCACAGTAACCGGCTATACTTGTTTTTTTTTGGGATTGCTTGAAAATTACCATGCCGAATATTTAAGCCATAAAATAAATATTTGTTTCTCATACTTAACTTTGTAACATCTCTAGTTAAAGCATATAATTGATGTTCTTGTGAGATGGGGAGGGGGTAGGAGAAAGCCATGAAATTTATTAAAGACTTTAACAATTTTGCTAATGGAGAGATAAAATGTCCTAATTTGATTTCTTAATAAAAGCAAATTGATAACGCGATCACTGTGGTTTCGATCACGACAATTGAAACATAAAAAAGCAAATTTTTGCTTATAAAAGCATTGTTCGCCTTGTCGGATTGTTGTGAAAGTTGACATGCAAATTTACTGAGCCAATACAAGCATATTTGGTTTTTTTTTCATGATTAATTATGTAAAACCACTCGTTAAACCGTAAGGCTGACGCTCATGCGAGGTGAGGGGAGAGTGAAGGGAAGCAAAAAGAGCCCAGAAAAGTTCTAATGTTCAGTTAAGAAGTTGTAACGTTTAGTGTTCTTCCGTTTTTGTCATTATCTCTTTAACCATGTGAGATTTATGACTGAAAATTTGATTATTCTTGGATGAAACACTTTATCTGAATGTTTTCAAGGGCTTTGTTTGGTCATTCAATCGATGGGCGTCAAAGATGTTTTAGAGGTGCCAAAACTTATCATAAAAGTACACGGAGTACTCAATATGTACTCAATATAGGAAAGTAATACTCAAAATAGGAAATAACAGAGGAATTAGTTAAAATGCTAATACAATTGTGACAATTCATAAATCTAATAAAAAACTAACTATAAGTTGAATTTAGTGTTTTTATTAGCGGATAATTTTTTCAATACTTTCTTAGGTAAACGAACAATTTCAACCAAAAGCTGAAACTTTTTTTTTGTTTTTTTTTCCCGATAGTTTTTTGTTTTTTTTTCACGATAGTTTTTTGACGTCCGGAGTATTTCTCTGACACCTTCTGATAAAATGGCCACATAACTCCTTAAAAATTACAAATGATGGTTTTTTTATTTGATTATATTTTGACAATCAGTTTAATTCATCATATGGCAAATTTTCAGCTACAAATTTCTAATAATTACTAAAGAAAAAAACGACAAAAAGGTGATTAAAAACTTTCGTTCATTTCAACGGCTGAAACTTTAAATTTTCTCCGATTTCACGGGACAGTAGTTCTTGAAACTTATTTTAGTGCCTTTTCTTTTTACAAAAACAGCCAAAAATAAAAAGATGAAAAAAAACTCTGGGAGAAATTTTTTTCCGTGTTTTTTTTTCTTCAAATTTCAGCAAAAATGTATGTGCCGCTATTCTCATTTATCTCTCGTATTGGTTTCTCGGTGAAGTTTTTACCAAGTGACGAGGACTCCTTTTTCGGAAGGGAGCAGTTTCTGTGGCACAGGATAGAGATGGAGAAGCACTGTTGTGCGTGGAAGCAGCACGCCGCCGAAATGGAGTTTCACCGGGAGAGAATAGAATGTCTCACGGCTGAGATGAACGGATTCGCACACCAGGTACTATTATTACTCTCATTATTTAGTGTCACTGAATGTTATGAAGACACTTAAAAAATCGCGATGGTTTTTTTTCAGGAAAAAAAACTTAAATTTTATACGCTCAAACTTAATTTTTCACGGTGTGACATCAAAAAACAAACGGATTTTTTTCTGTGCTCAATTTTTTTGCCCGGTCTTCATTAATTAAACATGCGAATTTCGACATCGTTTAGATGCTAATAAGGGAAGTATTTGCTTACTGATTTAAGACAGTGTGGTGTTTTGTGTTCTTTTTTGAGAAAAGATGGCTCTTTTTCACTCCCTACCCCTCCTCTCCACCCCCCCCCCCATAATTTTGTAACAACGTAACATCAAGGAAAGTTTTTTACGGAGTTTTCATACAATAGTTTTCATGGACAAATTAAAACCAGCATGTAATAAGCATGAACAATAATTCTAAAAAAAAATATGGAAAGACTGCTAAAAGAATATCTTGCATAAAAAAAATGCTGAGCCTACTTTCGTTTCACTCCAAATTTTAACAAGACTGCTCGGCTCTTTTTCCTTTCCCCCCACCTGCAAATTTTTACATGTAAGTTTGTTGACCACTTTGTCCAATTGTTATGAAAATTTACATACAGATTGATAAGGCCACGACAAACATATTTGGTCTTCATAATCAACCTCGTAAAACCACTCGTTACACTAATAAATTGAATCTCGTGTGAGCTGGGGGGGGGGGGGAAAGAGCCGACTGCTCGTCTCAGGGCGAAGCCCTGAATGCTCCGACTGCCTTTTAAGGTCTATGGAGCAAAAACAACATAACAAAATTAAATGTAAAAAAAAATTAAAAATCTTCAAAAATCTAACATTTAACCACACGCTATTTAAAAAAATCTAACCCACACGCCATAAAAAAGTGATAAATTTTACTCCTCGTAACAAATCAATTACGGCATAAAAGCTTCCTTGAACCAATTTGAAACAATTTTTAAGACGGATTAAATCGCCGCTTACTCGTTAATAGCGTGAAATATATCGCGCGTTAATTGTCCCAAATTGGCCAAAATGGCAATCTTTCAACCCTCATAACTTACGAAAAAAGATCACAGGTGAAATCTCTTTTCAGTTTTAAGCTCAAGACAACAATACCTTTTAAATGATATAAAGAAATTCCGTCAAAAATGGCTAGTTAAAAAGTCGAAATTTGTCTGAAGAAAAAAAACCCACCCCGAGCACAAATATTCCGTTACTTTCGTATCGAAAGTCGGAACAATTAACATAAGTTATACTAAAAAATTGAGCTATTCTGGAAAGTCAGACAAGCATGAAAGGAAGGAAAGCCTAAATTAATAACAAACAAGACTCCTCGTATCAGGGCGAAGCCCTGAATGTTCCGACTGCTTTTTAAGGTTTATGGAGCAGTAATAACATTAAAAAATTCAATGAAAAAAACAAAATCAAAAAAAAAGTTCTAAACTTTGAAATTTTTAAAGAAAATCATCCCCCCACACGCCATACAAAGTACAAAAAGATAGATTTCGCTTCTTGCAACAAACCAATTATGGCAAATAAGCTTCTTTTAACCAATTTGGAACGATTTCTAAGACGAATTAACTCTCCGCTTACGCGTTAATAGCGCGAAATATATCGCGCGTTAATTGTCCCAAATTGGCCAAAATGGCAATCTTAAAGCCCCCGTAACTTTACGAAAAATGATCACAGGTGAAATATCTTTTCAAATTTGAGCTCAAGACAACAATACCTTTCAAATGATGTAAAAAAAATTCGTCAAAAATGGCTAGTTAAAAAGTCGAAATTTGTCTGATGAAAAAAAAACCCACCCCGAGCACAAATGTTCCGTTACTTTCGTATCGAAAGTCGGAACAAAAAGATTCCGCTCAATTTCAATCTTTGAAAGACTTAGAGGGTGATTTTGATCAAACTTAGTTTATCGGTGAAATAATTTGACTAAATCAAAAAAGATGAAAATTTCTGTATTATCCATTTTGAGTCAAAATGAATTCGGGTTTTTACGAGCTGTTTTCCAGCTATTTCCAAATCACCCGTGGATACTTAAGAGCGGAAGCTGAAATCGGGGTTCAGAAAAATAGTCGAACCCCCATTAAACTTCCCCGAAATCCCGCCTCGTTTTTACCTAGATTGTATTCAGCGTTTTTTGTTTCCCTTAGGTTCAACACGAGGTGGCGGAGTTGAACAAACTGGCTTTACATGACTGCTGTGGCTCCATCGTGTGAACAAAGTTCACTGTCATTTATACTACTACTAGTCCAATAAAAATTATTCACTCCTTTTTAAACTCATTCATCAACATTTATTAATGGAAGGAACCTCTTTTTATTGGAAGTTGGTTTATTGGTTGTGAACATTTTTGTAAAAAAAAAGCTGCTATCAGGTAAAACTGTCGCATCTCCTCACCGCCCCAAAAAACTTGTCGCACCCGTTTTTTGTTCACGTTTGTTTAAATGAAAATCGGAATGCGTTATGGACACATTGGTTATCAAAACGCAACGTTTTAAATTTGTCGAGCGCAATGCTGAAGAAAAAATTGATGACCTCAATAGCTCTCTTGGCTAAATTTAACTTTGCGCAAAGTAACCCAAGCTATGAAAACAACTTCAAAGTAGTTATAATTTTCCTTTTAATTTGCCTAGAAAATTTACCAGTTTGCCCGAGCCAATACGGCTAGTTTAGAATAACTTGAACTTTTCGCGAACTGATTCTCTCTATTCAGAAATATGAAATATTTTGAAGCTTCTTTGCTTTGATAAAATGCTCAGTACAAAAAAATTTTGTAAACCGATTCCTTTTATGAAATAACTTGAGAATTTCAGCTTTCTTGCGATGAAATCCAAGCTATGAAAACAACCCCGGAATTTTAAAAAGGTTGATTGCTTCAATAGCTCGCTTGAGTAAAATTAACTTTTTGCAAAGCAACCCAAACTACAAAAACAACTTCAATTTATTTAAAATTTTCCTTGCTTTAAAAACTTGCTGGAAAATTTCCTATTTTTGTAAGCTGAATCGGTCTATGAGATTTTTTTGTGATTAGTTTTATCTTTTTGCAAAGCAATCGGAATTATGAGAAAAAATTCGAAACATGTTCAAAGTTTGATAGTTTTGATATCCGTTTTTATGTTTTTGCTAAGCAATCCAAGTTAATAAAATAATTCAAAATTTTAGCGTTTTCATTGGTTTATTAGCTTGATTTGAGAAAACTATACTTTTTGCGAACCTATTCATTCAATGCAAAAAGAGTAAATATTTCAAACTTTATCCCTTGAATAGCATGTTTACTTAGAAAAAACCAATCTGATGAATGAAGTAGTTTGATATTTTTAAAATTTTGTTACTTAAAGAGCTTGCTTATAAACTTTTTTCTCAAATAGACTTGCTTTTTGATTAAATGAAAAATTTTGTTGCTTCAATTGTTTCTGTTGGAAAACTTTCAAACTTTACCGAACCAATTTTTTAAAACCAATAAAAGTTTTAATCTCAAAACGATTCGTTTTTAGAAATAACTTGTTTTTTTTCCAAACTTGAACGTTTCGATGCAATTTCAAATTTATCGCAAAATGATTCGCTTCATAAAATGCCCTGAATTTTTTCCAAGTTTCATCGCTTGAACAGCTGGCTTCAAACAACTTAAGCTTTCCTTAACTGATTCGTTGTGTAAAGTTACAAGAAACATTTCATGACTTGATTAGTTTGCTTTGGAATACATCAAATTTTGTCGAACCAATTAATTCATCAAAATTGCACGATTGGTTTGCCTACAAAACTTACGTTTTGAGCAAACCGATTTGCTCTATGGAGAACTCGATAATTGTCGAAGTTTTTTTGCCCCAATATCTTGCTCATTGCCTCAAAAAAACTCATGTTTTTTGCTATCCGAGTTGCTTAGTGAGTTAATTTGAATTTTATAGGGTTTCATAGTTTGAATAGCTTGCTGAGAAAAATTTGAAGTTTCGCAAATTGAAAAATATGTCATAATTCAAAATTGATTATTTGAATTTTTTGCGAACCGATTCACGCAATGAGTTGACTTTGAAAATTTGGTTGATCTTCGCATCAATTGCTCGCTAAAAATGTCAATAATTGCGAGTCAATTCACAATATAGCCTTTAAATATCCCAGATTCATTGCTCGAAGATATGTTTAAACTTCGGGGCTCGCGAAGAAAAACATTAATTATATGCTTAACGATTCACTATGAAATAACTTTTATTACTTCAAGAGTTTCAGCGCTTGAATGGTTTGCTCAGACAAATCAACAATTGCGAATCGATGCGAATCCACCTGGAGCATGTAATGGCATAAAAAATTCAAACGCTTAATCACCTGAACGTTTTGCTCGGAAAAAAATATGAGAATTGGTTCAAGCTGGAACACATTGAAGTATTTAATAGTAACATAGCTTGAACGAACAGCTTGCCTTAAGAAAGTTCGCAAAAATTTTATGACATGGAATAACCCAAACCGTTCAAGTTTTTTTGTTTTAAATGCTTGCTGCTTGCTAAAAACAACCAATTTTTTGTGATTCGATTAATGGAGACGGGCTTGCTCGTGGCAATAAACTTAAAAACTAGCATTTTTAATTTCACGCTTAATGTTACTGAACTATTCTTCGGTTGATGTAAGGTAACGGTAAGTGGAGGTTTTTGACTATAACTTATTGGAGTTGGATCGCCGAATTGTTAATTTTTGAACTTTTTTCATGAAAAATGCAGTCAATTTGAAAAAAGTGTTCTAAAATTTTCTTGAAAATCAGCTAGGAGTATGCTGGAAAAGGGTAAATTGTCGTCATATTGCAATTCATTTTCTTTCCCGTTACTCATGGGGCATGTCGTTTGGTTCAGACAAAATGGAAATAAGTAGCATCTGTTATATATCTTAAGTTGACTTCAAAAAGTTTAAATTGTTTGATATTTGAAATTTGAGGTACTTAAGGACACTGACGTCTTACAAAGTTTAAAAGGAAAAATCTATAAACTTTACAAACATTATATATAAATCGATAGGCAGCAATCTATCGGCATCAACTAACTGGCCTTTTTAGTGTTCTTCCAAGATGAGATTTTCAATAATAACAAAATGTGTCATTCTTGATAACAAAGCCATAATTGGCATTTCTATTTATAACTTTGATAATGATCTGACCTTTTCCAAATTCTCCTGCCAAATCAAAAACCTCTCAACTTCCTCATCCTCTGAGGCATACTGTTTGTTGTACTTCTCCTTCCAAGAAACCCACTCATCCACATGTGGCTCACCCTCGATTGCTTCTGGAACCGAAGAGCCCGCCGATCCAGAAGAAGATCCTGAGGTTCCATTTGATGCTAAAGGTGTAGCGGCCAGAGAAATAATTACTAAAATGATGATGAGATATGACTGCACCAATGTGTTCATGATGATGTTAGTCATAACAAAAACGCTCGATTTTAAACTTTTCTAAGGCAATTTATTCTATACAGTTTTCATTACAATTCATGAGATTTTTTAAAAAAATGTTAAAACAAATCGATTAATGGCTTAATGTAAGTTTCTAAACTATAGTGGATGATTTAACGCTTGGCTGGTTTTAACCGCAAAGTGTTTTTTATTTCAAAATTTAATATGTTGGTGCTTTTTTGGAAAAATCACCGGACCCAGTGAACTGTTTCATAGGCTCCGATGGCAACAAATCTCATAAATGCAACATCTGTACATCAATGATACGCTCCGAATGTGAGCTAAAATAGTTTTTATGTGATTTTAAACGCTCTGAAATGCTTGTAATAAGCAGTATCAACCTCTTTAAAAAGCTCTCCGTTAGTCAATGTAGCGCATACTTTCCATGACAGATGAACAGATATATTGTAGATGATGATGGAAATTTAATTAACAGAAGATCAAAATATATTGGCTATGTTAATGAGTGCATCGTAACGCTTTCAATAATTGAAGTAGAAATGGCAGCATTATTTCAGTAGCCGAATTATGCGAATTAAGTCGAGGCCATTGCGAATCAAAATTGAAGTTTACAAAGCGGCGCGACCAAAACAGATATGCTGCGAAATGGCGTGTACCAAAAGTGAAGAATTTTCTGCGTGACTTTGCTCCCGCCATTGAAACTATATCGCGACCATGCTTTTATTATGATAATTTTGATTACTATAATATAAATGTTTGTTGTTCCGACCGTTGAATTTTTTTGTTTTTCAAGCTAAATCAGGTACCACAAATAATCATCGGAATGCGTCGAATGGCAGAAAAAGCTAGTTATAACTTTTCAGTTTGAGTTTAATTTCGATAGAAAAAAGCGTTAAGTAATGTGCTTTTTATTACCTTTGTGATAAGCAAAGGGTTTTGCTATCAGGTACTAGTTTTCTACCGTAAAAAATGGGAATCAGCGTGGTTAAATAATCAGCGTGGGTAATTATACGCATGGTCGATAAATATTTTGATAGCTGTAACCGCATAATGTTTTATTAGTTGTTCCTATTAGTTATGTTAGTTTTTTGACAATTGATCTCAAACAAAAAAAATCTAAATCACTCTCTCAAGACTTTTGCCGTAAAATTAGAAAAACTGAACATAAAAAATTGTCAATTTTTTTTGAAAAATAATTTAAATAAATTTTCCATCAAATCAAATTTAGTTCGTTTATTTTATTAAACTTACATTCAATGAATTGTCTTATGCTTTTCACTTAGAGGTAACACCTTGAGACGACAAAGGTTTGTGGTTCGATTCAAGTGGAATTTTTTTTCAACCATATTTTTTTTCGGTTTTTTCATGCAACCGACCGTCCATTCGTTCTTCTCGGCTTAAATCGGGTTGCAAAAAAACTTTTTGTTTTTACTTGTTTCTGTGTTTTTGAAGATTACTAGTGGAACACGTTAAGCTAGAACTTTTTTTTGCGAAGTTCTTGCTGCAATTTTCTGAAATTAAAAAAATTGAATTTTACAAACTAACTCTTATCACAAACTTTCAAAAAAATTTGCATTTTCGGTTAATAATCACGCAATTTCCAAACATGCCGATTTTCATCTAGCAAATGACTTTTATTGTTTCTCAGCTGTGTTTGATTTCTTCAATTTTTATTTTTTTTGTAACTTAGCAGCTTTCATCTCAATTTCTGTCTGCCAGTTTGTTAAGCTATGTTTGTGTTGTAATCCAACATTTGTGATTTCTGGTTGTCCAGTTAAACTCTGTTGGTTTGTATCTAATTTGTGTCCTGCATTAATTTTATATAAAGCGCTCCTAGCATTTATAAGCAGTATATATCTATTGATTATCAGCTCTTGGCCATCGGTTGCAATTTTGTCGGCTTTTCTACCAATTATTATGTTTCCCACAATATTCTGATTTTGTTAAAAAGATTGATGAGTCTCTGGCTCTGAATTATAAATGGTCAATATCAACCTCAAAAGGTCCTCATGAAAAATTTAGGACAATTTAAAAAAAATGAAAAAACGTCTTTTTTTTTCTTGTTCCTTTTTCAATTTGCATCTTTCTCTTAATAGAAAAAAGTTTCTTTTTTAGATTAAAGCCTTGTATCGCAAATAGTGCGAACCTCAGTCTTGCGTATGTGTCAAAAAATTTATTTAGTGAAGCTTTCAGGCTGAGAAAACTTGTTTTAATTAAAAAAAATTAGAGCGCTTTGAAAATTAGAGCTAACTCAAAAGCGCGGAAAAATAAGTAAAATCAAAGTTTGAATTAACAACAAAAAATTTTTGCTGAATAATTTTGGACTTTGTACAAAAATTTTTGTTGCCGAACAAGCGCTAAAATAAATTTCCAGTACTACTTTTCTTTTAAACTCAAGTTTTTTAGCCTGAAGTTTTATTCAAAAAACTTTTACACACAGGTGAAACTGAGATTCGCATACCTTTATTTTACACAGAGGCGACGAAACTGAGCTTCGCACACCTTTTGATACAAGGCTTTATGCTCAAAAAAGTTGATTTTATTAAGAAAAATGGATGTTTATTTTAGCGCTTCCTTGGCAACGAAGATTACCGTACAAAAATTTTCAAACTATTCTACAAATAAGTGTTTCGTTTTTTGTTTGTCATTCAAATTTTGTAGACAAATATTGTTGATTACGACGAATTCAATTATTTTCTGCGCTCTTCACCAGCTTTCTAATCACACCATGTACTAAAAAGGATTGAATGAAAAATTGAATGAAAAAAAGTGCAAACATTTTTCTAGTTTTTAAAAAAAATTGTCAGAACAATGTGTGGGTCTTTCACAGCAAACGTCTACCTTGGTTATGATTATCTAGTACATTTTTGTAATCATTAGATTTATTGATGGCTTAATCAAAAATTAAAACGACTACGCGTAGCTGGCCACATTATTCAAAAGAACTGGGAAAGCGTGTTTTTCGATTTTTTGTTGTGTCGATTTTGCGAGTTGTGTAATGAGAAAAACTAGAAACGAAACACCTAAGCCGAAACACTACAAAATTGACAACAGCAGTCTTACAAAACTAAAATAAAATTCACTCCAACCATTGTGATAATGTTTCTGTTCCCGATTTTTGGTAAAATATCTGAGCACATCCAGAAAAAATTGTTACCCAGTGTTTGGTGGTAGTTGCAATTATCATTCATGCTTTTATTGTGGTATCTTTGAACCATCTCTGGAATGGGAATATATCAAAGCTTTGTTACCATTGTAGTCGCAATTTTGATTTGAAGTTGGACACTAAAAAACTAAGTGGTTACTACTAGTTAAATACGATTATCTGGTGTTATAACGATGAAATACAAAAAAAACAATTGGGTTCAAACTATTTATTTTCTATTCAACTAGACAGTTAAATAGAAGTCCAATAGACTTCAAATAGACGCGCAATAGGCAAGTAACTAACGCAGAGGGATCAATTGAGCAATCTCCCCCCCATCCTCGCGTGGGGGGGAGATAGCTCAATAGGTACTTGAGACATGTTTATAACCACTTGAAAATAGTTTGAATGACATGAAATCATAAAACATATTTTCCAACGACTGTGGAAAGCCAAAATTTACAATATCAAAGTTCAAAAGTTTCATTCAGATTGAAAAAAGAATCAATAAAACAGGCATAAAAAGCGACTTTTTTCCTTTCTTAACATGACAAAAAGTTTTTGCGAACACTATTAAGGTGCTGCGGAGAACCGTTTTTCCTATTCAGATACAAGGCTAGAGCACCAACCCTGGTAAATCGCTTTCTTCGATGAGGCTATGGTCGCCTAAACAAAGTTTTGCAAAAAAAAAATTTCATAAATTTCGATTTTTTTTTCAAAATTTTTCTCGATACTCATATAAAAAAACTTCAGTCGGTCAAATGATTGCGTGCTATAAACAAAACATCCATCTACTTCCGTTTGCTGACGTCTTTTTGAAGAGTTTATTTGTTTTTGCTGGGGGGGAGATAGCTCAATTGGTCATTACGGGGGGGGGGGGGGGAGATTGCTCAATTGATCCACGCAGAGTTGAGTGTCAAGTTAAGCTTTTTAAAATACATTACTCAACCCTCTTTAATGAAGGAAAAGTTTTGTTGTGTACCACTGAATGGTAGCCATGAGAAATTCTTATTCCCCTCTCCGTCCACAGGATGGGCGACGAAACAATCAAAATCGAAATTTGAAACAAAACAATCAAAACTAAACTGAAACACCACGGAATTTTTTTAAGATATGTTGTTCAATGTGTTTTAAGACGTGAGGTTATGGACAACGAATTTATTTGCTGCAAACATTTGTACAGAGAACTACACAGGTAAAATGTATGTATGAATGATACACTTGAAAAGCAAAAATTTCAGTTTTAATTCGAAGTAAATTTGTAAAAACTCCAAAACTCCAAAAATTTGAAAGTGAACCAAACCTTTGAGTTTGTTGAGTGCTTTTAGTTCAACGATAGATGAAAGCAAAATAAATTAAATTTGACAATCAAAAAGTTGTTGCAAAGCACTTTTATAGCAGTCTGTTTGCTTTGCTAAAATGATATTTAAAGAAGTCTGCATCCGCCCTGGTTTTTTTGTCGATTACTGAATATGTGTCGCTACGTTATTCTTCAATCGTATCATCTACTCCGGCCAAGAACGAACCAATGACCTCCTGTTTGGGGTCTAACGAGGAGTTTGGAGAAGAAAAACTTCGGTAGTTTTTGCTATAACGGTTTTAAGGAAGAGTTGATTGTATGTGGGCTTGGTTTATTTTTTTCAGGACCCTTTTTTAGTTCAAGCACAAGAAATTGTCCTTCTGTTCCTCGTTTAAACATTCTTCTGTTGTCCTGACTATGTCTACAAAACACCTTTCTCCGAGAATTTAAAGAGTCCACATGTCATCGAGATTTGGAAAAGCTACCTGATGGGTTGGAGGAGCTGAAGATCGTCTGCGGTAACTCCGGAAAGCTCTCTACTACTATAAGGTCTGCCGGTGTGACCCCTGGAGGCGTTTTTGGGTATCCGCCAGTGTTGACTGTCAGGAGGTATCTAAAAACTCTTCAGACGTGAGAGCTTAGACATCGGAGTTGCATTTTAAAGACTGTACCAATTAGTCATATAAAACACTATCTCAATGATCTAAATCTACAAACGATGGTGTACCTAAAAGTAGGCAAAGGTAACCTTTGCTTAATGAACGATCTTTCGCTGATATCTTGCTTTTTTCAACGAAATTGTTTCAGA